GCTATTCCAGGCTTACCTTGTACTTTCTCTGGCATAGACCTGGAATTAGCCATTTTCCCAAGGATCCATGGTCCTTTTAGTAAAAAAAAATGTATATATAAATCAAGCCTGGACTCTAGGTGTGCTCATTTTTCATCAGGTGTCACTGCTTTATATGGAAATATGTGTATTATAAATAAATATGTTATATATAAACACATAATATACATAATCTTGAGTTCATGTAATACATCCAATTCCAATCCAATACCATAAGCTTTCTAGAAAAAATACATAGTGGAAGCCAAGTGTGGTGGCGCATGCCTGTAATCCCAGTGTTTCAGGAGGCTGAGGCAGGAGGATTGGAGTTCAAAGCCAGCCTCAGCAATGGTGAGGCACTAAGTAACTCAGTGAGACCCTGTCTTTAAATAAAATACAAAATAAGGCTGGAATTGTGGGTTGGTGTTCGAGTGCCCCTGAGTTCAGTCCTTGGTACTATCCCTAACCACCCCCACCCCAATCCACAGTGAAAATTATTTATTTCCAGCATTTGAAATAAGGAGTAATACAACATTTCTTTCTTTAAAATATTCGACTTTGTTTTCCTCTTTTGGATAAGAAGTTCCTGAGTTCATTCATGCATGTATCTAACAGTCTTTTGGCCTGGAGGGTATTGCTTCCTTCAGAACAGCATATAGCTTTCCTTTCTCCAAGTTTCTCTTGTTCTGTATTGAAATTCTCATGGCATTCAATGTTTTTTTTTTTTTTCCCTGTCTATATTTGTAATTCCTTTTTAGAGTGAGAAACTTGGCTCCCATTATTGTTACACGCTTACCTGTTTGATGTATCATCCTGTACGTAACCTATCTCTGCTTTTCACTCCCACCCCACCTCCACTTCCACCTATGTGTGGACACCCTGATTTCCCTGCTTGGGCTCTGATTCCCTCTTCAAGGCTGCCACTCTGTTGGACACCCTTCTCACTAAGCTTCCCACGCAGAGCAGTTCACCTGTGCATCTACTGTTGGTCTCTGAAGGATTCCTTCCTCTCCTTGCTCAGGCTCTGAAGATCTCCTGCCCTTCCTTGGACTTTGACACTCCATCCCTCCCCATCACAGAGATGCCCTCCTCATTCTGCTTGGGGTCTGACATCTCTTATTGCTCTTCCCTTTGTGTGTGCCTTCCTTATCCTACCTGGTCTCTGACTCCCACTATGGGCCCTGACCGTTTCTGCCCTCACCATAGACACCTGCCTTGCTCTTCCTTAACTAATGACTTCAGGACTGAAATACTCAGAAGGGGAAGACCTCAGCTAGATTGTTTAAAATATGAAATAATAGATCAATAGATACCTAGATTTTTAGGTGTTTTGTCTAGAATCACAGAGAAAATAAATGACAACATAGGTATAGGCAGCTGTGTGTCCTCACAGGGACCTCATCTCCCTGGCTCACTATTTTACCCCCATGAATAAAAATTTGTGACCATTTACACATTTGTTTATAACCAATGGTAATTCATGCTTTTACATCAGGGTCAATATCTAAGTTTTGTGCTTAAGAATTTTTTCCATTCCATGAATATCTAGTCTTAGCCAGATGGGTGGCAATTTTTTAAAAAAATTTATTCATGTGGCTGAGGACATGGAAGCCCTAAGAAGCCACAGCCTTTGTGGCATCCCAGGAATCCAGCACTTCCACTGAGTGTCGTGGTACCATCAGAGCTGATTTCCTTTCAAAACATTTGGAACCCTGCAAGAGAAAAATACCATCATCATAACACAAACATGAGTCCCTCAAATAGTTTCTTTAATCACTGTTCAAAGAAGAAGAACATTGTTCAGATAATCATGTGGGGAAGTGTTTCCAAAGCACAATCTGAAGAATGTCATCTCTGAGAGATTCTTATTGAGATGATTCAGCAGTCAAATAGCATTAGAAACTTTGCAATTCATAATGCACATGAGTGTACTAAAGACTCTAAGAAATCCTAAAGTGAAGAAACTTTGTGTAACCTGGTGCTGTCCAAATTTCCTTAACCACAGAGCTTCTGTTTAGAATTATACCTACTTTGGCCTTATTTACTTATTTATGCAATGGGCAAAAAGATTGCATATTACATGTAGCTACTACATGGAACAAATTAGGCAAAAATATGTAAAGTATTATTTTATTTGGCTTTTTCATTGCAACTAAAAGGCCTAACAAGAGCAATTAGAGGAGGGAAAGTTTATTTTGGGGGCTCACGTTTCAGAAGTCTCAGTCTATAAACAGCCAACCCCATTCTTTGGGACATGAGATGAGATAAAACACCATGGTAGAAATGTGTGGGAGAGGAAAGCACCTGGGAACATGGCACTGGTGGGGAGGGGCAGGGAGGGAGACAGAGAGAGAGAGAGAGAGAGAGAGGACTCAACTCTCTAGGTATAAAATATAAACCCCAAAGGCATAACCCCCAATGACCCACCTCCTCCAGTCACACCCTACCTGTCTACAGTCACCCAATTAATCCCTATCAGGGGATAATGCATTTATTAGGTGAAGTCTCTCATAATCCAATCATTTCACCTCTAAACTTCTTTGCATTGTCTTACAAATGAGCTTCTGGGAAACACCCCATATCTAAACCATAACAAGCATATTGTGGGTGTGTGTGTGTGTGTGTGTATATATAAATATATATATATATATATAAGCACCATACTTGGTATATTGTAGGTGTCTACTAGGTGCTAATTCCTTTTCTCAGATTTATTATTTATTGAAC